AGAGAGTAGAATGGTGATTGGTCAAGGTTGGGCACCACAGGGAAACAAAGAATAGGGCGTGGTTTAATCCATGGACACTAAGTTATTAGTAGATAGAAGCAAGCTCTGGTGTGCTACTGCACAGTAAGGTGACGATAGGTAATGATCACGGACTGTGTGTTTCAAAAAAACTACAAGGTAGGAGTTTAGAAGTTTTCACCAAAAAGAAATGATAAATGTTTGACAAGACAGATATGATTAACCTGACTTCAACATTACACAATGTATCTGTATATCAGAGTATCGCTTATTATCCCACAAATGTACAAAATTTTTATGTTTTTTTATATGTTTTAAAAATAGATTTGTTTTAAAACTAAGCTAGAGATAAAAACATAACATTAATTTTAGTTTTTTTTTATTATTTTGGAATATCCCTAAGTGCTAGATTGCTACATTATCAAAATAAATAAAAACAAGTTCACAATTATTATCTTGTCTCATTTTGTTTCCCAAGCTGGTTTAAAACTTGAGCTCCTCATGCCTCAGCCTGACATCACTGGGATTACAGGCATGTGCCATCATACCAAAGTTCAAATTTATTTTCAGTATGTTATAACAAAACATGACCAGGATGGTTAATACAAACGTCTCACACATCAATAAATTTCTACATGCCAGTTTCCTCATCTAAAAAAGTGAGAATCTTGTCACCAAGTGCCTCTGAGCCTATTATGAGGAAAGAACTTCAACAAATCTGTGTAAATCTCAGTATCCTAAAATGATAAACAATAAATATCAAGCCATCATGCAGCTGTGTCTACCCTAGGACACCAAAAAGATTTTTTTAAAAAGCCTAAGTGTCTGAGCCAGGTTTTTATTCTCCACAAAAGAATTAGATATTTATATCTAGTAGAAGGGACAAAATTGTCATTCTCTTTCTTCTGACTGAAAAAGAAAGAAAACAAGAAGTTCTTAGCTAAGATAGGAATTATTTTTAAGGCAAAAAAGATACAATAGCCAACACCTGTGCTGTACTTTAAAATTGTAAAGTATTTACATACATTAGGATTTGTGATCTTCATGACAAGCTAGTTAGCAGAAGTATCTTTCATCTCAAAACAGTGAAACTCATAGAGACTTTAATGGGCATTCTCAGCCTGTCTGAGATGGTAACAGTATTTGAACTACCCCTTTCCATTAACTAAGCAAGAAGGTCAAACTCAAGGTGAACAATGTATACATTTGAAGTCAGATAGTCTGAATAATTTTCTGGGTTGGAGGAAACTCAGGACTAGTTGATTAAAGTTCTGGACTTTCAGTCTGATTTGTTAAAGTTTGAGCCATCTTCCAATCCAGTCAAGTCTCCCTTTATCTTCTGGGGTTTTATTTATCTTTTCATATAAAATGTCCTCTTTGGAGTGTGAGGACACTAATAGAAGGGATGAGGGCCTTATTCACATTTTTTAACTATAAGAGTTTGTGCATGAGAAGCTATAAACAGATAACTATTTACATGAATTGAGTCAATTCTTCAACACCTATTTTGTGACCTGTTTAGTGCTAGATAGGTGAACATGAGAGAGAGAACTGCACATCGTCATCGTGGAGATTTTGAGCAACAGAGGAAGATGGGAAGCTGTTAATAACTGTGAGGGGATCTCAGAAAAGAGCTGCTTGCTATGGAAGCTAAAACATGGGGACACAGCCCAGTATGGGAGAACAAGGAGGGTCTACAGAAAGCAGAGACAGTTCATCTGCAATGTAAGGTGGGATGGGAGGGAGGCAGGAAAAGAAGGAAGAGCAACTTAGAGCGAGGAGCACATGCACACACGCACTCAAAGGGGAAAACACAGCCCCAAAGGCACATTTTAAATCCTGTATCTTACTGAACCACCACAACTCAGGACCAAATCCAATGATGATGAAGTTTGTCAGGGACAGTGGCATTCTCACAGGTTAAAATTATTTCTTCATGTAGAGAAATCATGTACTCTTTCATCTTAAGACACATCTTCAGCAAAGGTGTTCAGTTTTGCTATAAAAATAGGAAGTGGGTATGTGGTTTTCTGAAACCAAACTAGTAATTTCATAGAGATTCAATATCTTAATTGGTAACCAGCCTGCTGAAGAAACTGGATTTTTGTGAAGCCAGTTGGAAAATGTAACAATTTATTTAGTCACAGCTGTTTTTTTAATAACTGAAAATTTTATAGGTAGTTATAGTTATAATTCCAGTTGTAAATTAAGGCTATTCAGTAGGATTGCCAGGCCAGCCTGAACTAATAGCAAGATCCTGTCTCAAAAAAAAAAGTTACATATGGTGTCAGAATGTTACATGCAATATCCGATGTTATAGAAAACACAATAAATTTTATATATGGGATTAAAATGATGTGTTCTCACAGACTGTAGCTTTAGGATAAAACGACTCAAAACTACCCATATATATCATATATATACTGCCAGAAATATACATGTTTTTGTTATATGTAGACAGATACTGAACAATCACTGAGTAATCCCAATAGGATACCTTTATGTCCTGAATTCTGTACCTACAAAATCATGCTGAAACCCTAACCCCCAGGACCTCAGAATGTGATCATATTGGAAAACAACCTTTAAAGTGATAACTAAGATTTAACAAGGTCATATGGGTAGGCCAAAACCCAATATGACTATGTCCTTATAAAGAGAGGGAGAAATACCAATGGGAGGCTGGCAGAGGAAAGGTCATGTGAGGACAGAAAGGAGGCAATCTCGAACCAAGGAGAAAGGCCTCAGGAGGAACCAAACCTATCAACATGTGAATGTCAGAATTCCAGCCTACAGGATGGCGAGCAAATCAATTTTTCTTACTTAAGCCACCAGTCTGTGGTATTTTTTATGGCAATAAAAGGAATTGTGTCCCCCTAAAATTTAAATGTTTAAGCCCAGCCCTCAATAAGACTATATCTGCAATAGGGCCTTTGTGGAGATAATTAAGATTAAATAAAGTCTTAAGAGGGGGTGCCAAACCCAATACAACTTCTGTCATAAGAAAAGGAAAGGACCAGAGTGCGTGGGTGGAGGAGAGGCCATGCGAGGACACAGCCAGCCCGGAAGACAGGCTACACCAGACATCTAATTTTCTAGTACCTTGACCTTAGCCTTCCAGCATCTAATAATGCGAGGAAATTAATTTTGTTATTTAAGCCACTCAGTGTGTGGCATTTTGTTATGGCGGTCCCAAGGAAACTAATACAGATATATATTTCACAGCCGTAAATACACATGTCCAAGTATCCGGGTGCCCTGCTTGACTGAATATAGTCAAGTTATCTAGATTCCTATTTGAAACTGTTGAGAGGGCTTTTAGCATGGCTTTGTAAATTAGAATTTTTAATAGATTAAAAATGAAAGCACATAATTTATATTTATGCATTAATATCCAGATTTAATCTGGATATTAATTAGGACAAAAGAATTGTTTTTATGAAACAGTGTCAAGGTATGGGAGCCACCAAATTTTTAAAAATGTTTTGGACATATTCACAGGTTGGTTGTTTCAGCTTTCAGAAAGAATGAAGATCCTGGCGTGACAAATCACCTAAGAATATTAAACTTGGACTCCACTGTTTCAAATTAAACTTTGCTCATGTAGCTGTTATATTCCTGTCACTGATCAAGTTACCTACAGAAGCTTTTTGGGAGCTTAATTAAGCCTGATGAATTTACACACATAGAAAAATGAATTCTTTAAATATTTAATCCATTTATGGCTCAAGGCCATAAATGAATATGGCAGTTCCATTCTTAGAAATTAATTACCTTTGAATTAAAGCTTTTTCAGGTGTTTAAGACATATAGTCACACCTCACAGTGTGTAAATTCAACATTTCATCTGTTCACTGAGACGATTTATTCCAAATGTTCTATTCGAACACTCAACCTGAACCAGGAGCTACAGTTACAATATGTGTAATGATCCTTCATCTTAATCTCCATTCTTAGCTTTCCCTCTCCTCCCTGCTCTATCCAGGTGGGAAGGAGTTAAAAGTTAGCCACCCTCCACTGGAAAAATCACCATGCTTTTTCACTGCAACTTTGTTCTCCTTTGCTCATCTCAAGCTTCACCTGCTTCTGAAAACTTCTCCCCAGCACAATCAGCATGGGCCCCTCCCCCTCTCCCATGTCACTGTGGGACACCGGATGTTTTGGGATTTTGCCTAGTTACATAGTGCCTGTTTGCATCCCCGCCATGGAGAAGGCTGTACAAGTCTAGAGGCAATGTTCCTCAAGAGGACAGTCCCAGGAATACGAAGAGAACAATCTGAAAACCACATTAAGGCGCATTTAACACCTTCAGAAACAGTCTCTGGATTCCTACATACAAAAACTGGAAGATGAACTCTATGAGGAGACAGAAAGCCACACAAACACCTGAAGTCACAAAGGAAATCAGTGGGAGCACAAAGCTTGAGTTCCTGGAGATCTGTTACGGTTCAATATCATTTAACTGTTTTCAGTACCTAGGCCATAAAACATTCTGTTTTTGGACTCACCTTCCAAAGAACAATGCTGTGGGGGTGAAATTCAAATTCTCGAGGTGTATTAAGAAATTGGAAGATTATTAAATTAGCTATTTAGTTCTTACAAGTCTCAGTGGAGAAGTTTATCTCCAAATATCATTTTCTAGTACTAGCAATATAAACAGTAACTCAAAACACATTCCCAGAATAATTCATTCAGCCATCTCCCTTTCCTTCCACCACTACCTCCCACACACTTCGATTTAAATATAATTATTTGCATTGAAAATATGATACACAAATGGCATGCTGGAAATTACAGTGCCGGTCTCTTCCAATGTTTTAAAATGAAATGCTTGATGAAAGTACATTTTGTTGTGATGAAAAATAAGAATAGGAAAAAATTAATTAGAAAACACTAATCTCCCAGTGGTTATCCAAATACAAGCAGCCAGCACTGGGCAATAGCCAAGGCCACTAAGACGGGCCCAGGGCAGGGATACCTACCACCTTTTATCATCCCCACATCGTAGCACTTGCGGAGCCGGCAGGCCTGGCAGCTCTTCCTCCTGTTTTTATCAATCGTGCACTGGTTGGTAGCTGGACATATGTAGTCATTATGCCCTAGTAAAAGCAAGAAGACAGAGTTAGTATTATTTCAGGAAACTTAACTGAATTTATAGGGAAACAGCTGGAGGATGCTATGCTTCCACTAAATTGCAGCCTCAGTCCCCTCTCCCCACCCCTTGTCTGCCTGCTAACTGTGAAGAAAACTTTTGCTAGGCTTAATTTCTCCCTCAACTCATTGCTGTAGGGATCCTTTGGGCAAATCACCTTCGGTTCACACCGTCTGTGTGGGGCAGCAAAGAGTGGTCTTATTCATTAATATTTTTTTCTTACCCAGGCCACTTGCTAGAATTGTCAGGGTACAGAACTATTTGAAACCAAACTTTCAGATAGAGAATTTCAAAGTAGCCTGTCACAAGATATAAATTAAAGAATCTTTAATAGTTCCAATAAAGCACAGAATACCTCAGAAGTCCGAGATGGCGAGCCGGATGGCAGAAAGGAAGTAAGTTAGTCTCTCGTTACTTACTAGCAGTACTGCCCATCTCTACACCCAATACTCCTCCTCTCTAACCTAGAGAAGATACTGGTGCACACTACCTAAAATTATTTTAAGACTTTAATTTGAGAATCTATGCCAAGTGTTTGCCGGAGTCCCCTGGAGCGGGCCAGCCCTCAAAAGATAGCAGTTGGCTTTGTAGTCGGTAACCACGTGTCCACTTTCTTTTCTCCCTCATTTGTGGATGCTGTCTGGTTCACATATCTCTTCCTCTCTAGCTTCCACCATAAGCACGTGTGTCCCCCTCCCTCTAACTGCTGCCTTACACCCTGCCCTCCTTCTAGCTGAACTTAGAAACGTCTACGCTGACGACTCTTTTTCTTCATCCCTCCTGCAAGGCTCAGCCCTTGACAATGTTTTCCACCTCACAAAAGAAGCTTCCCTAAGATCCCTGACCATGCTGGTGCCAAATCCAACAGGTATGTTCGGTAGACAGCACAGCTGACCTGTCAGAAGCCACGCACAGCGCCGACTCCTCCCCGCCTCCTGACATCTTCTTGCCTTTGGCTGCCATCTTGCAAAGTCTTCCCGGTGCTCCCTCGCTCTCAGCCTGTGGCTTCCCAGTACTGTCTGCAGATTCGCCTCCCTCCGTCCACTGAACCAGAGCTGCCTGCAGCTCAGTGTTAGGTCCCTTTCTCCTCCTCCTCTTACTCCACATTCTCCCACAGGAGAAGCTGGTCCCTGCCTGTGGCTTCTAGCACCAACCTTCCTCTCTGAGGTCCAGGGGCCTACATCCAAGTCCCCACACAAATCTCCACTCTAAAGTCTTAGAAATCACTTCTCACTTTATCCATCAAAAGAAGCCTAGCAGCCAAGGGTAGTGGCGCACACCTGTAATCCTAGCTCTTGGGAGGCTGAGGCACAAGGAGTACTGAGAGTTCAAGGCCAGCCCAGGCAACAGAGTAAGTTCAAGGCCAGCCTGCATTACATAGTCAGTCCCTGTCTCAAAAAAAAAAACCAAGCTTGGTTTGTAGCATGTGAAACATTGAACTTCACAAATTAATAATTATTGCCATGCTCTTATGTAAGTCTAAATTGTTACACGCCTTAGGAAAATGTCCTGAATTTAGACTAAGGAAATGACATATACTATTCTAAACATGTTTCCCATTCTCAAAAATATATACATATATTCCACCCTGTAGTTCAGAATACAGATTCTCCAATTAAGTCTTTATCATCCCACTTAGCGTAAGATGTGACAGGTAGTAAAATGTTTTAACTCAGAGCTCCTTGGTCTCCATTCAACTTAAGCATCAGTTCCCATAATAATAGGGTGGGGTGGGGACTTGGCAATACCTGCTGGCTTCATAAACCCTGTCCCTCTACCTTCAGACATACATTAGAAAAGTCACTCTATAAACAGGCTTCAGATGAAATCCACATCTGTGTTCTTCCATTGCATAATAGAAACCAGAAAGCCAGTCAGAAGTTGTAAACTCAAAACTTTGGCAAGAGACCATACACTGCTCTAATATCCAGGCATAGTTATTATTTTTAAATTGACCTTATTAATGGGAACAAATTGAGGATGTAATAGGACAAGTAATAAAACTTACATAGATAGATGCTAACTCTAATCAAAACATGGATTCTTCCAGTGCTTGGTCTCCTATAGTGTTTATACAGAATATAGTGACATGTTTTAGCTAAAGAAAAGTGAGTATACTTTAAGTTTCAGAAGAAAATAATGATAACCACTCAAACCAAACACTACTTTGATTCACTTTCTCCCTCAAAGCCAGGTGCGTTGTGAGCCAGAAGAAGATAGGAGAATGAAAGCGGCCCCGGTTGGAGGCCGCTTGGCGGGATCTTCTATGTGGATGGGCCATCCACCCTGGATGGATATCTTTACAGAGCCACGTGAGATTCTTGAACTGACATGTCTAATACATCAAATGTGCTGGGTGTGTGCAGCTGAGTCCAAGCCCTCACAGGAAAAGAGATATACAGCAGGACAGCATTCATATTTAAAACCTGCTGCAACGGTGCTGGGTCCTCTCCTGCCCAAAATGTTGAGTTGAAAAATTGGCAAGAATCAAAATTGAATGAGTGCATATTTGCTATCTATAGTTAAAGCAAACTGTTGTTAGCTAGGGACGCATCTCTGCAATCCCAGCATGTTAGGAGGCTGAGGCAGGAAGACGGCAAGTTTAAACCCAGACTGGGCAACTTAGCAACTTAGTGAGGCCCTGTCCCAAAATCAAAAATTTAAGAGGTGCTGGGAATGTAGTGCTGCTGTGTGAAGGCCCTGTGTTCAATCTCCAGTATAACCAAAAACAAAGTGCTCTTAACACCACTGACAACTATTTCTAAATCTCCAGCTTCTATCAGAAAAAGAGAAAACAACAAAGTAGTTTTTTTATTTAATGGCTAAAACTTAGTTATTGTGTATTATTGAAGCAATTGATTTAAGTTGCTTTAAGAAGAAATTCCTTTTAAATTTTATTATTTGATATTGTGAAAACAATAAATAAAAAATACCACCAAGGTAAAATCAATTTTTTTAAACAATTACCAATGACTTTAGTGAGATATACAGTGTTCTACTGAAGACACTGAAGATTTTGTGTACCTGTGACCAGGTCTGGCCAAGAGCCCCCTCTGCAAAGGCCGAAATGAAGCACCAAAAGCCAAAGCAAAGATGCGATGTCCAGTTGGAAAAATAATCACTATCAGTTCAACCTACCACAAAATAAAAGTGGGAGTTGGGGGTGTGGCTCGGTGGTAGAGTGTTTTGTGGCATGTGCGAGGCACTAGGGTTCAGTCCCCAGCATAGCTAAATAAGTAAGATGAAGTCTGTGGCTGGAGCAATAGGAAGTGGAGGGTGCAGGAGGCAGGGCCACAGTCAGAACCAAAGAGTGAGGACAGAGACTCCTTCGGGCAGGAATCACCCTGGCCCCTAAAGATGGACACGGAACTTTCCCCACAGTGCCTCGGGATTCCTTTGTCTTGATTTTTCCTTCTTCCCTTCCCTTATTTTCTCTCTTGCAGTAGCAGCTGTTGTCATCACTCTGAAAGTCTACATTTGTTAGTTATGAAAATAAACACTGACCCATATTCAGAGCTTCCAAAGGAATCTGGCCTCTAAACATAGGCTGGACTAGAACCAGCAGTGACACTGACAGAAATCTATCCTTGTGGCTCTTTCCTTTGGTCACCCTTTCTCAGTACTTGAGGGCAGTCATCTCAGTTCAGCCTTCATTCCTGAACTTCAGAGCTGATTTTCTGTCCAGATGTGACTCACAGACTCCTCAGGACCAACATGTCCTGGTGGACTGATCGTCTTCCCACGTCAGCAGTCTGGCCCTTCTCACTACCACACTGTGAATCTAATCTAGAGATGTGGGCATTATTGTAGGTTTCCTCTCTTCCTCAGTGGACAGTGGACCTTCCTCCACAACCTGCTACACACACACACACACACACACACACTGATCAAATCTACTATCTCCTAATTTAACCAGTTTTGTCCTACCCCCACTGTCCCTTTCAGAATCCATGCCATCTCCCACCCAACTCATCCCCACAGCCCACTGCATGACCCCTGCCTCCCGTTGTCCCCTACCAACCACTCTCCACAGTGCTGCCAGAGCAACTGCTCCCTCACACACACCATCCTATCTACCCTGACAACATTCCGAGGCACCTCAGAGCCCCAAGGATAAAGTATAAACGCATCCACACAGCTTTCAAAGCTCTCCCTAACCCCCTTCTGTGCCTCTCCCTACACTCTGAGTTAGATCCGAGTTCTACCCGAAGCTCTGTCCAGGTTTCCCCTCACTCCCAGGACTCTGCAGGGCTCTTCTCTCTTGTGACTACCACGTTCCCTACTCTTGTTCCAGAGAGCTCCTCCTCATCTTCAAGTGTTCCTTTCCAGGTACCCATCTCCCTCTGAAGTCTTTTCTGTCCCACCACACCTAGCTTCTACAGTATTGCAGCACTTCCCACAGTGTATATTAATTGCTTGTCTCAATCCTGGGTGGCTGTAGACTTGGCAAGGGTTGAGCCACACCAGCTTCACCTATCGCCACTGATCCTGGGCCCAGCACACTTACAGGTACATAGCGGAGCCAAACCAGCAATGTCAAAGCTCTGGGTCCCAACCTCCCGCAAAATGTCTGTGGAACAGGTGCTTCAAGCAGACTGGGGCTCCATAAAGGAAACAAAGCAATAGCTGCTACACCTCAAGGCTTCAAGACTCAGGTCACTGAGAACAAGACTTGGTCCTCAATGTGGCACAGGGAACAGGAGAAAGCTGAAGGATGGAGGAGCCTGCTCTGTGACGCAGAGTGGGACCAGACACGAGCATACAGACACAGCTCCTCACCAAGGAAAAGGACGCATTAGTGTGAATTTGCTTCACTCTGGTTTCTCCTTTGATGCCCTGCTGATCTCCTAATATGAGTGTACTCTATGACTGCTAAAAATACTCTAATTTTCCTAAAGCTCTTTCTTGACAGAAAAGGGTTCTGAACTGAAATGTTATTCAGCTGCG